TGAAGTTCTTCAGGATTGATCTTGCCTCACAGATGAACTTCATATTTAACATTATGACTACGTACTGTAAATTTAAAAACTAGCTAAACAGCTCCATCCACCAAAACTGGAGATGTAGTTTGTTGTCCTTGGAGCATCAGTTTTCTTGCCACATTTGAGAGGAAATATTTTGAATTAAACAATAGCAAAAATTCTTCAAAACACACCCAGTAGGCAGACAGTATTTTAACATAGCCTAATGGACTCCATGCACAGCATGCCTAATGCTAGTGTCTTATTGAAAGACATACCACAATTCTCCAAATAACTGTCTTTCTATTGGAGAACTGTTGCTACGGGTGCCTAAATAATTGCAGATTATCTTGTATTATTATTATTCAAATGATTAAATGACAATTGTACAAAAAAATTGGAGCAGTGCTTCATTTTTAGAGCCCTGACTGTCCTACCAATCACAGGCAGTTAGCATTTTACTAACCCCCTACAAAATCATCCTCTGAAGTATTGCTTTTAGACTTAACGAAATCCTGTCTTTCATCAGTCGTGTGCACATCTGCCAGCCAGGGCAGGGGAGCATGTTGGAAACCATCTGGTTCGGAGAGCTTTAAGCTTTTGTAGGTGACAGCCTACTTTGCCAGATGCATCTGCCACTGTTTTTTTTGGCTTCAGGAACTTCAAGAGCTTTAACCTATGCCTGTTACAACTGTCTCCTGTTTCTTCCACCAGATGGCACTGCTACCTCTCTTGAGAGTGCAGAATGTGAGCAGTGCTTTGGGACTAGCCGGTAGGGCTGTGTGAAACGGCACCGTTCAGCTTCAACTTCTGTTTCGACATTTTGACCAAACAGTGGGTCGTTTCGAAAACACTGTTCCGTTTCGCCAACGCTGTTTTCCTATTTCGACGTTGTTTCACCCATAGGTTATAATGGGGAATCGTAAAAGGTAGCAGGCAGGCAAATCAGGGGTGTGGGCCCCCAATCTGCCTGCCGAATGACAGGAGACTGGTGCTGTTGCCTGGGGCCAGCAGCAGCACCAATGCCCAGCACCAGTCTGTCATGTGGCAGGCAGATCAGGGGCCCTCACCCCCAGGAGGAGTCTGGCACAGCCCACACAGTCCTCCCAGGGGTGCGGGCGAGCCCCCAATCTGCCTGCCGGATAACAGTTGGCAGGTGCTGCTAGCTGGGACCAGCGCTTAAGCCAGTAAGCCTGGCTGTGAAACTCGAAATGTTTCAGCTTCCCTTGTTTTGTTTCAAAGCTATTTCAAAGGCTTTTGTTTCATTTTGATTCTTGGTGTTCTGAGCTTGAAATGCATTGAAACAGCTTCGAAATGAAATTGTGGGTGAAATTTCTCACAGCCCTCCTAGTTGGTGCTTTTTCTTCTGCACTAAGTTGTTGTACTTAATTCTTTAAGCAAAATGAGCACCCAGACTATATAACATGCTTGGCAACCAAAGGTGAAGTGATAACTGCAGTAGAGCAAATCTCACTTGATATTCCAACATTCACTGCAGCTTAGAAATTCTTCATTCAAGGAGAAACCCTCCACTTCCTTGTAGTTGGTTCTCTTTTCTTTTTGGCTTCTTATGTCACATCCTTGTATCCTCATTTATGTCTTGGAATTTGGGTATTTGTAGCCAGTTCATCAAATAAAATACCTAGAAAATCTGAAGAGGTATGAGTGGAAAATCTGTTTCCCACCCCCATCCCACAATATGACTTGCACTCTGACTTCTGTTTTCAATTTCTATTTTCCTTTGTTTGAGGCTTTTTCTCTACATTTCCTGCACCCTTACTAATATCTCATGTAGGGCATGATTCATAGCCTGCTTTGTGGGATGTATGTGTCAGTGCTAGCATTTACAAATTAAATCTTTGCCAGTATCCTGATGACAGCTTATTAGCCAGTGTGTTAGTAGCAAATGACGTTTTCAAAGCAGCTGAAGAGAGCCCAGGTGATCATTTCAATTCCCTGTAGATCTAACATCAGTTGCCATCTCCTACTGGGTAGCATTGTTCCATGGATACAGGAGATTTAAATGTCCATGCTATAATCAAGGTTAGGAGCTGTATTTAAACTCAGCTGAGACAATATTTCAGCTAAATGAGTTGGTAGCCATTTGACTGACCAATTGGAAACTGGCTAAGCTAGAACTGTAATTAAGGTGTTTTTGTTTAAACTGTTTCAGGGACAGGCCAGATGGAGCCTAAACTTGGAAACACCAGTAGTCCTCCTCATTGTGTCTGGTAGTCATCTTGTATATGTAGGGAGACCGTACTGGAAGTGGACACCGCCGGGTGTCCTGGACACTGACCCCCTCTGAGAAACCTAAGGGGCGGAGGGTTGTTAGGCCTCCTCAGACAGCAGAGCCTTTCATGTGTTATCTCTATTGGGGTGGATTTGGGGGTCAGGGATACACACACATACAGCTCGCCCTCGTATACCCTATAACTACACAGAAGCTCCAATAAAGTATAATATACTTTTGAAAAGTCACAATTACAACAAACAAGATTAACAGTAAGAAATGTACATAACATCAAGCATGAACTATGTACACTGGTTAACTGCAGTGCCCCATAACCAGGCCTGCCAGAGGCCAGTGAAGGGCAGCGTGAGGGCCTTCACAGGCTCACCGAGCCGCCGTGACCTTTCCCTCGGAGGGTCTCGGACCGAGATTGAGGGAAGGGTGATAATTACCCGTCCAATGGATGATCTAGGTCCCGATGCAATAAAGCTTTTACAGGTAAGTATCCAATTATAATCCAGGGCGATAGGTCACCTCTCTCTCACTGCTACAGTCACTGTTCATATGCCTCAGACATGCAGGTATGATCTCCAACCAAGTAAACTCGCGCACCATTCAAACCTCAGGTACTCTCAAGCATCCATATTCCATTTGTGCACTGAATCACGCCTCAGGATTCCTTAAATACTCACCAAAATATCACCTGTGTCAGTCATTCTTCTCACCAGTCACACTCGTGCACATGATACCCTACCCTTGTGCTCTCGGCACTGGGGCTCAGCACACGGCACTCAACTGGACCACGCTACTGCGCAGGCTTCCCAGGTTCAAGGGGGTCACTTACATCATCGAGGTGGAAAGTTCAGCTATGCTAGACCCTTCCCACCTCTGACCAGTGTGTGCATACTCAGGAGGGATCTCATGTTACAGACCACATCCAACAATATGACCCGTTTTAGCCAGGACAGTCTTGGATTTCAGAGACTGGTCCCAGCCGCTTCCCTCTTCTGGAGGCTCCTGAGGAGCTCTTTTCAGTGCTGGAGTAGCAAGTTCACACAGGGCTAGTAAGAGTTATGGGACATGGGTAGGGACCTACCAAATTCACAGCAGAAGTGGGCTGCACAGCAGCTGTTTTAATATTGTAGGTTCCACCGCACCCCTCACCCTATGCCAATTTGGTAGAGGGGCCCCACCACACACTCCTGATTGCCAGGGAAGTGAAAATTGCAGTTTTAAATAAGGTGTCTTTTTTACCTCCTGGCTGGTCATCCGCAAACAGCAAGCTCACTGGTGCCCCTCTGCCTTGGTAGGGGGTGGGGATGTGTGGGGGAACCTGCAAGATTAAAGGACCTGCCACATAGCCCCTTTCCACTATGAATTCGGTAGGTCCCTAAGCACGGGGAAGCCGTCGCTGTCAGCCTTATGTGCAGCAATTCATAGCCTCCAAAGAATTTAGTGAGGTTTCTGATGGAGAGAAGGGGTTGAGGGGCATTGTTGCTAATTTAAAAAAAAGGGAAGAGAAACAGAACAGGATTTAAAGCTTTGAAATGGTCTGTGGACTCCATAGAGAGCCACTAACTGGGGATCCATGTTGTGTGTGCTTTACAGCTTGTCTGGTGGCAATCTGTGGACTGATTCTCTGCTCCTTCCTAGTTGCATGTGAACCAAGTGGACTAATTTATGGAGTCATTTGCAGTCTCCTATTTTGGAGCCATGGGATCCTAGCTTGAGGCCCTTGGGGGCCTGACATCAGTGGAAGATGAAGTGTAATGGAGCTTTGTTTTGCTACATGGTCACACACCCTGTTATCCCTTTTTGCCCTTCCATGGGAGGGAAGGAAGGATGGGTGGCTGGGGCAGAGCAGCCTTTCTTGGATTTGTGATGGCAAAGAATTATCCTGCGCTGGGAAAATCTCTGCAGCCAGTTTTGGCTACTTGAATGGATAGGCAGTACAACACCAAGTGGCCTTGGACGGGAGAGTTTCAGCCTATTTTTGCCATCTTTACCATTTCTGCAGATGTAGCTTCCACAAGACCAGTACGTACAATTAATGTCTCAAGTAAAAGGGACTATCTGTAAATCAAGTGTAGTTAACTATATTTGTTGGAGAGCTCACCTCTCTCTTCTTGCCTTGGGGGAAAAAAATAGTTTTAGGCCTTTTTTTAAATTTATTTGGCTGTTCAAATGGATTTTTCAGAAAATGTGCAGTATCAGTCCTTAGAAAACTGGGCCCCTTTAAGTGGTCTCAGTTTAGGAGCCCAGAATCATTAGTCACTTTGAAAACCTTGTGCTTAACTGGCACTATCTGCAACACTGCTGTCCTTTGCCAAATTGCTTTACCTCAAACACAAAATCAGCACTCTGGAATATGAGAGCTGCTTGGGTGGAGGGAATTCCTTGACCATTGTTGTCTAAAAAGGCTCTTTTTCATTAGCAGCCTGTCTTGGGGAGGTTGGATCACTTCACTAACGCCACCTCTGGTGTCCTGTAACTAATTGGGAGCAAACTGATCAATCCATCTCTTAAATTATCCATTTATTTTAATGGAAAAATTGCTTTCCCAAGCCTGGATAATGTTTTAAAATGCATTAAAAATGGCACTATTGCTATCTTGGGGTACCTGAAAGATGTTGCAGCTCTTGCGTTTAAAATCAGCATTGGCAATATCTTTAAGCAAAGAACACCTGCTTGCATGAGGCTAGTAGCATGTTTATTGATGCTTTATAACTGTCTGTATTTGATTTTTTTGGTGTAGGTCGCTTGCACAAATTTAGATGTGGATCTCATCTGCATAAGTGTAACAGAAAAGCTGCCATTCTACTTCCGAAGACCACCTGTTAACATGGTACATTTGTATCTGACTTTTTTTTTGCTGTTGAGTTAGCTATTAAATATGGAGTTTAAACAATTGTCTTTCCCTTTTCTTATTCTTTATACTGCAAAGTGATGTTTTTTTCTTTTCCTGGAAAATATCTTCTCTGTTGCTTTTTTGCACTTGAAGGCCCATGCTGAATTCCCACCTGGGTATAAACATGATTCAGTAAGTGAAATCAGTATAGGCCATACAAATGCAGTCAGTTTATGCTCCTTTTGTATTTATAAATCTCATGCTTGCATGAGTACAGAGAACAGGAATGAAGGTTAATTGAATCAATCAAATAAATAACTCTATTTCCTAATACTGTAGTTTCTTCTTTAAAGTTAGCAGTAAGAAAATGTTACATCATGAACAGACTACAGACCTAGGAACCTGAGTTTCAATTATAGCTCCACTAATTTACTGTATGGCTTGAAGTAGGTCATTAATCTCTTGCTGTCTGCAAAAATGAAACTATAATATGTTTTATGGGAATGCTGTGCAGGTAAGTTTTTAAATACCACTGCTGGTAAACTACACAGTGAAACTGCTCTATGAAAATTATCCCAAGTAGTACAGTATCCTGGGGTTAGGGGAGAAGGAAACCTTGTTAATCTTCCTTTTCTCCCAAGATAACTCTTCCATCAGCAAGCACTTAACTTGTATTCATAAGAGCTATTTAAAAAAAACAAAAACAAAAAACCCTTGACTTTGGAAAGTGGAGCTCTTTAAGGAAAAAGGAGGGTCTTTGGCATTTCTGAAGTGCATGGCAGTCCTTGAATGAGGTGGTGCAGTAACTGGTCAGATGTATAGACTTGATGCCAAGGCTAGGTGAGTAAGGGCATGCGTATACCACCTCTGCTGTGTCTTGTTCACTCAGCACATCTGGCTGATCACTCAATATATGCCAGGTGCCCAAATGAGGCAGTGAAGTTGCTTTACAGAATTTTAAGAGTGTCCCTAGTGTCTGTCTTAAGCAGGGTTATTGGCACAAGGTCAGTACTCTTAAAGGTGGCTACTTTGCTGCATTTGGGGGAGTTGGAGCATGCAGAGGGGTAATGAGTGGACTAGGCAAGCTTTGTGCCATTGCTCCTAGGCATGACATAGAGGTGTTGTAGACATGCCCTAAATAAATTTTATCTCGATAGAAAATAATTCCATCTGCTCTTTCTCCCATGAGTGGAGCTATAGATTTTCTGCTAGTCAGCTGTGATTGCCTTTTCCATTTCTAAGTTTGTGGAAACAATTTGCAGCCTAATGAGAGAAGGGGGAAGGCTTTTTTAGTAAGCCTCAATTACTGGGTGGTCTTAAGTGCACATATATATATTAGTACATGTATAGTCCTTTATTTTCACTTTTTATAATGCAGCATATTTCTTCTTGTCCTGTATTTGATTCATACGTAAAACAGTGGAACTGGAAAGAAAAGACATGAATAATAGACTGTACTTGTCAGATTGTTATACCTCTCTGCTTTTGATTTTTTGACTGTTTTCTTTCTTTCATGTGAAGGCAATAGATCGAGGCATTTACTTTGAAGTCCTTTACACCCCAGCCATCAAAGACTCCACAATGAGAAGATACACAATTTCAAATGCACTCAGTCTGGTGCAGATCTGCAAAGGAAAGGTAAGCCCTCTATGTAAAAATGAGAAGCTGAATTTGTTGGATTTAACTCCTTTTGGAGTGGTGTAGGCTGAACAGTTTCAGAGCAGTTTGACTCTATAATTTTTGAACTTATGCCTGAACCTTTGCCTGCCAGTGTTTGGAAGTAATTGTTCTGACTACAAGCACCCCTAGCTGTGGATCACCTTGTGCTTTATTTTTAAGCCACAAGCTTTTTTTCAAGACGGTATGCTAGTTGTTGCGGCTATGAAGCTGCGAAGACTCAAGACTGTTAAAACAGCAGTGTTAGAGATTTAAGGTTAGCCAGGAATGAGCTGGCAGTGCATTCCTCTGACCAGAAATACATCTCATAGATCTAGGTCCCTGTTTGTGGCAGTATCCCATCACATAGAAAAGCAGATGGAATTGCAGAATTAAAAAAAAACCCCAACAACAACGACCTTAAACAGGTCAGTAAACTTTCATTGCACAAAATTCATTCGTATTTACTGGCTGGTCACAGGCCAGATTTCTAGTTTGGGTAGTTCTGTCTTCTATTCCTGATTCTCAAATGGATGAGTAAAGAGAGCTTGATATCTGAAGATCCTAGACCCCCAACCTACTCTCATGTTGCTTCCTCCCAAGGCAGCTGACCTGTCATTTGTGTAGCAGACATGTAGGTTACCAGTCTCCACTGTAGAGAGGTGTCCTAGTTTTCTCTTCCTCCTCTCTTCGACCAACAATCAAAGGGAAGCTGGGTGACAGTGACCCTGAGCTAATCACCTTCACCATCTGCCGAAAAGCTGTCAAGTCAGTCAGCAGTACAGAGGTCCTCAACTTCAGGAGGGATGACTTTGACAAGCTCAGGAGACTCGGTGAGGCCCTAAAGGACCATGACCCCAAAGGGAGGGGAGTCCAGGAAGGGTGTTCGCTCCTCAAGGGAGTGATCCTAGATGCACAAGCTAAGGCTATTCCGTCTCGAAGGAAGGGCAGCAAGAGGGCACAGCAACCCCCTTGGCTCTCCAGGGAACTGGCGGTCCTCCTGCATCTAAAAAGACAGGCCTGCAGAGGATGGAGGACGGGATCCACCTCCAAGGAGGAATACTCTGCACTGGTCCGAACCTGCAGGGAGCAAACGGGAAAGCCAAGGAACTCCAACTGGCCACAGATATAAAGGACAATAAAAAGTCCTTTTTCAGATATGTGGGGAGCCAGAAGAAAAGCAAGGGCAACATTGGACTCCTGCAAAACCAAAAGGAGGAACTTACGACCGACACCCAAGAAAAAGCGAACTTGCTAAATGGGTCAGTCTTTGCGTCAGTCTTTCACAAGTCCCATGGGATGCCCCTGCCCAGTATGGGACAGGGATGCCTGAGCAAGGGTGGTTCCTTGCCCACCATCATTGCTGACCTTGTGAAGGAACAGCTTGAGAAGCTGGACACCCTCAAGTCAGCCAGCCCTGACAGTTTACACCCCGGAGTACTCAAGGAGCTGGCTAGCATCATAGCTCAGCCCCTGGCACAGATCATCGAGAGCTCCTGGCTCTCTGGTGAAGTGCCGAATGATTGGAAGAAGGCCAATGTGGTTCCTATCTTCAAGGAAGGGAGGAAAGTGGATCCGGCAAACTACAGGCCCATCAGCCTGATGTCTGTCCCGGGGAAGGTCTTAGAAAAAAATCATCAAGGAGGCCATCCTTAATGGACTGGCAAATGGCAACAGCCTGAGGGACAGCCAGCACGGGTTTGCTGTGGGTAGGTCATGCTTGACCAATCTCATTTCCTTTTATGACCAGGTGACCTGTCACCTGGACACAGGGGGAGAAATTGATGTCCTGTATCTTGACTTTAAAAAAAGCCTTCAATCTGGTATCCCATGATCACCTTTTGGCAAAACTGGTCAACTGCGGCCTCGGGTCCACCTCAATCCACTGGCTGGGGAATTGGCTCCGGGGTCGGAGTCAATCATCTTGGTGCCCTGTGACCAGTGGGGTCCCTCAAGGCTCTGTTCTTGAACCTATTTTGTTCAACCTCTTAATTACTGATGTGGACCTTTTGGAGTCAAAAGTGGACTGGCCAAGTTTGCCGATGATACCAAACTTTAGGGTAAAGCATCCACACCTGAGGACAGGGCAGTAATCCAGGCTGACCTTGGCAGGCTCGGTAAATGGGCGGATGAAAACCTGATGGTGTTTAACACCAAAAAATGCAAGATTCTCCACCTGAGGAGGAAAGACCTGCAGCATGTCTATAGACTCAGCAGTGCTATGCTGACTAGCACTATGGACGAGTGCGACATGGGGGTCAAGATTGACCACAAGATGAACATGAGCCTGCAATGTGAAGCTGCAGCCAGTAAAGTAAGCAAAACGCTAGCTTGCATCTGTAGATGCTTCTCAAGCAAATCCCGGCACGTCATTCTCCCCTTGTACTTGGCCTTGGTGAGGCTGCAGCTAGAGTACTGTATTCAGTTTTGGGCTCCACAATTCAAAAAAGATGTAGAGAAGCTTGAGAGAGTGCAGAGGAGAGCCACGTGCATGATCAGAGGTCAGGAAAACAAATCTTATGGTGAGAGGCTGAGAGCCATGGGACTCTTCAGCCTGGAAAATCGCAGGCTCAGGGGTGACCTGATAGCGACTTACAAGCTTATAAGGGGTGTTCACCAGGAACTGGGGTAACGTTTTGTTCACCAGAGCGCCCCAAAAGATGACAAGGTCGAACGGTTATAAACTCCTGCAAGACTGTTTCAGGCTGGACATAAGGAAGAATTTCTTTGCTGTCCGAGCCCCCAAGGTCTGGAATGGCCTGTCACCAGAGGTTGTTCAAGCACCTACTTTGAACACCTTCAAGAGAAACCTGGATGCTTATCTTGCTGGGATCCTATGACCCCAGCTGACTTCCTGCCCCTTGGGCAGGGGGCTGGACTCGATGATCTCCCAAGGTCCCTTCCAGCCCTAATGTTTATGAAATCTATTAAATTTTTCAGAAAAAGGCTTTGAGTTCCACACTTGTTCCTCCTATCTTGTAACAGTGTCCATCTGTCCAAGGCAGCCAGCCTCCTAGCTGTTTCACCTGAGCAGCCACTTCTTACACATGCCAGTAAGTCTAGTCTAAAGTCAAATGCAGAAATTTGGAGGAGTGGCTAGACATATTTGTGTGTTTGCATCAGACATGCCATCCATTATGTCCTAGGATTCAGGGTACTCTTTGTGGCTGAATTCTACTGATAGAGCAGGAACGGGAGCACTTACTGTTCCCATCACTCTCAACTCTGTCCTTGGGGTTTAAGCAACCAGATGACTGACATAATAAAGATAGGACTAGAGCTGTACTTCTTGTGAGGGTATCTTTATAGGGATGTGGAAGATGCTTATTGTAAGGAACTATGATGTTGCCACCACCTGGACATTTAAGACAGTTTCCCTTTCTCAGAAAATGTTTTCAGTGGGACAGAAGTAGCCAGACGGCACTTACCCCAGCCCCAAATTCCAGAGTTTGGGAGAGGGAAGACCTATAGGGTGGGCACCCAGGAAGACTATTCACTTTTCTCCTACATGTGATATAAAGTGGGAGAATTAAACCAGGAAGAGCAAGGGGCCTGTGTAAACAGAAGAAACAGGAGACAAGCTGGCTAGAGGCCTGGCACAAATAGAAATCAGCTGAGCAGTTTGTTCCTCACTGTGGTCATACTTCACATTAGTCCTCCCCTTTATCTTTCTATGGGCAGATATCCCATTTCTGTCTGCTTCCCCATCTTTACCCAGCAGTTTACTTATTGTCTGCCCTTGCTTCTTGCTCACTTACTGCCTCCTCCTTTGAAGTTGTCTTTTGAGACCAGCAGCCAGAGTAAGTCTCTGATGCACAGAAGTGAACCAGGATCCTGCACTGGCTCTTCTGGTACTTCAGAGGAGACTATTTGCACAGTTGTTCTGGGAGTCTTTCTGTGCCTGGAAGATGGGTATTGGCAGCCACAGCTCAAAGCAGCGGACTAAATTTTTCCCATTAGGCCCTGGCAGGCAGCGCTTCTGAAGCTCGAAGGCAGCCTATGGGATCCACAATACAGCCTTTTTAAGAGTGAACTATGAAGAGAAATCTTGTAAGCTCCTTCATGATGCGTGTGTGAGAGTGATTTCTGCTTCTGGCTTTCCAGGGGTGTCGCAGCCCTTTCCTCCGCACCTGAGGAAACCCTGTGTGTAGTGGGGAAACAGCAGGGTCATTACCATAGAAATGTAAATAGCTTTGCTGCAGTTTGAACATAAGCTCAGTGTACACAGTCTTCTCAAATCCATGCCCCTTTCTTTGCGCTGGGAAAGTTTGAAGGTCGAGACCATAACATTTTGGGCCTAAAAATTAAGGCAGCGCAAAATGAAGTAGGGCAGTGTTTGTTTCCGCCCAAATAGCCAGACAGTTTCATGCTTACACCACCAAACTCCTTGTCACTTGGCGCATCCCCCAGGAGTGCCTTGTCTAGGATGCATATTTGTACTGTGCTGGAACTTCTCTCTTCCAAAATTGTCTCTGAGCTGACCTGAGCATTCCCTATTACATCTGTAAAATAATACTTGGCAAAGCTTCACTTGACGTCTGTATTTGCCTTTTTCTAGTGTTAATAAGACTTGACCTCTTTTTTTTTTTTTTTTGTTCCCTTCAAACAAAACCCTTTTGAAAATATTTGAGGTGAAGGGTGTGGGGTTTGGTTGCTTTAAACAAATACCAAGAGAGACTTTGGTTCACCCCTGTAGACTGGTTCTTGTCCATAAGCGAGGGGTCATATCTGTGGTGCTTTTGTATTGATTCCCTTGACCCAGTAAGCTTGCAACTTTTATTCTTTCCAAGAAGTGAAGATCCTTCTGGAATTCTCCCTGGCCCAAAGCTGCTTTTACTGGTTCAAATTAATTCTTTTGGGCAATGGGCTCTAACTTCAAATGATGCTCATAGGAGTTTTGCTTTCAAGTTTGCACAAGGAATATTCGGTATTTTTGATAAGTTATCAGAGATTAATGTTTGTTTTTCTTTCATTCTCTAGAACGTAATTCTATCTAGTGCAGCTGAACGGGTAAGTCAGGTTTTTTTCTTTTTAATGTAAGTACAACTTTTGATTAATTCTTGCTATAAGTGAAAACATCAATGTAAATACCCTTTTATGTTTCTTATTTCTTCTTCTGGTGTCTGCTTTATCAGAGAATCCTGTGGGGAAAGTGAGGGGAGTTTTTTTGGGTTTCTTTCTTTTTTTTTTGGAATGAGGCCAGGGGGCCCCCTGACTCATGAAGTTTCCCACCTTGGAGACCTTTCTGCTTTCCCGGAGTGTTAGTCATTGTCTTGAATCCGCATTGGCATCACCAAAAATTCTGGAATCTCATGATTATGTAAAATTTAAACAGACAGTTATGGCTAATGGTCTGTAGCATAATATTTGTACAAACTGACTCTACAGCCGGTGAGGCTCAAGCTTCCAGCCCCGTGGGCTAGATGAGGTGTGTGGGGACAGTCTGCAAGTGGGATCCTGCATGACTTGAGCTCACAGGGTCAATCTGTAGGTGTACTCTGGCCCAGCCCCAGGCACCAGATCTGGCTGTGGAGCAACCCTGCATGCCCACGCATGAGGTCATATCATCCAGACCTGTGGGGTGCCCTGTGGGCCAGACGACACAGCTTCAGGCTGAAGGTTAAGCACTGCTGCTTACAGTCAGCATGTATTTATCCAGCCTTCTGTTTTCCGTTCTAGCCTTTAGAACTGCGAGGTCCTTATGATGTAGCTAATCTGTATCCTTTTGCAAGTCAAATCTGATCATTAAGAAGAACGTACAAAACATCCAGTTGACTTTGAAGTATTCCTATCTCTTTCCTTCCCCCTCTAATGTTTTTTAAAAGTTCTTGAGTTGGAAATAAGTTTGTTGGAGTTTGTGATTGTTATAACAGAACTCCTGGCAGCGGGAAGATATTCTGAAGAGTTAACTTTGGAAATGTTTCCACATACCATATTTTCTGGTATATAGCACACGCCTTCATTCTGAAGAGGAGCCTGAAGGGGAAAAAAAAATTGATTGAGGTAAGTTAGCGGCAGCAGCTAGGGAGCCAAGCCTGCTGTCAGCCCTGCATGATTGATAGGCCCACAGACTCATCCAGCCTGGCCCACTGGGTCCAGGGCTGCGTGCCAAAGTCCAACTGTGCCTCCTGGATCTAGAGCTGGGATTGTGTGCCAGGGCCGTGGCTGCCCACTGACTCCAACCATGCCCACTGACTCTGAGGCTACACACCAAGTCTGGGACCACATGGCTCTGGAGCTAGCATGTAGGGTCAGACCTAGCATGCTGAGTCTAGGACTGACCCTATCCACTGGGCTCCAGGGTTGCATGCTGGGTCTGACTGTAGATCAACTCCAGGAACCACAGCATGCAGCTGGGGAGGCTAGCTCCCCACGGGTCTGGCAGGGGAAGCAAGCCATGCAGTGAGTGCATGAATTGCTGTGGCTCCCAGAGCAGCAGTAATTAACACTGTTACATCTCCACCCCTTCCCTCTTCCCCTACCCACCACTCAAATTTCCCTTTTTCTTGCATATAATGCACACCTCAATTCTACCCAGCTGGAAAAAAAAGGTGCAGGTTATTTCTGTCTTCAGAAATGTATATCTGGAATGGAAATGGTGTTCCTCTATTGCAGGGTTAGGGATGTGTAGTTTGATAGTGTTTTAGATTCTAGGCACTGCCATGTGACACAATAAATGTACAGAAACTTATCTCATAAAAATACTAATAAAAGAAAAGGTTGGGGGGGCGAAAATAAATGGACATAGTTTACCTAACTTGGTGTGGTTCCTCTGGATCTGGTCTGGAGCCTTCTCACAATGATTTTTCTATCAGAAAATATCCTTCCTGGAAAAGGGACATTTTCTGAGGGGAAAATTGTTTATGTTGGAAGAACTGATTTTTCAAAATAAGTACCTGCCTGAAAGAAAGTAGAATTGACAGGGGGGCTTCCAGGCAAGCTTCTGCAGAGTTGCTGCAAGGGGGCTAAATGTTCTCCTTCTCTTCTAAGTAGGGGTATGCAAAACCATTTTGAATTGTAGCTTTAATAGTTCCCAGTCTATTGTCAAGTGACCACTTAAGGGGAAAGAACCACTTAACATGCAAAAAAGAACAAGCAAATTAAGATCCTTAACAAAGGTGGCAGAGGCTTATTGTTTGGCCTTTCTGAAAGTGATGCCAAGGCAGCTGTTTCAACCAACTGCAGAGCCATCCTTCTCCATGGAGGTGAGTGAATAATGTAGCTATATTCTGTTTTTATATTAACTTCCATGTGTATTGTTTGCTTTTCAGTTTTAAAAATACAGCCCTTTTAGTAACACCATCAAGAGAGAATCATTGTGAATTCTGCCTTTTCTGATCATCAATGTGTGCTGCTTCTCCAGGTTTTGTTTTTCCTCTCCCTTATTGCCTTGTCCTTCTGCCTAGAGTAAGAGGCAAATTAATGATCCTATTGGTAGTGGCAATTTTATTTGAGTACTTCATAATAGCACTTAAGGGACTCTTCTGAAAAAGCACAGATTGCACAATCAAATCACAGGCTATTCTATTACATTATGTAGCAAAATAACATTTGATTCATGAAGGGCCAGATCCTGGTCTCGACATGGATCTTAACTGTGGGATCTTTGAGCTCTGTGACCATTTCACATCTGATATGAAAAATCCTGATATGAAATCAAACTCTTTGCTGGGTAAGAAATGCTACCGCGTAGGCAGATGTTCTGCTGTTTTTCAGAAAACTGAAGTATCCTTGTGTCTTCAGCACAGAAGTCTGTGTAACACTTCATATAACACAAACTCTGCAGCTCCTTCCTATCTGCTCCTATACAATATTTTATTATTTGGACCAAGAGGTATTTATCTACTACAGTTGAAATCAACATTTTTCTAATTGTTGTACTATACTGCATTCACTGGAACACAGAATCAGCTAGCTAAGCCTGTGCCGTGGGTTAGTTTTTCAATATTTTAGTTTTCAGTTTTCACATGCCCCAAAAGCTCTGCTGCATTGTAAAGATGCCTGATTTTAATTTGTGTCTGTTTCTGTTTGAATTGTTCTCATTGTAAGAGAAATCTGTCATGCATACAAATGGATGACAGTTAATTCCTGTGACCGACCAGTTAATGTGCATCGGCTACACAGGTGTGAAATTACTGCACATTAAAATTCCCATGTGGATATTCTCATTTAGGAGTAAAGAGGCCTTGAGTTGCTGGTAGCTTAACCCTTCTTAGAGGTCAAGCCCACTTTCCTCCTGAGAGTATCTGTGCCTCTCATCAAGTTAATGTGCTTTTAGTTATGCACACTGTCTTCAAGCTTTCAGTTCATTTGTCTTAAACTCTCCAATTTCCTTAGACAGGGCCGGAGAGAGGCTTCTGACAGACATTGTCTTTAAGGCATGATGGCATCTGCTCCATGATCCCAACAGTCATTCCTTCTGCTATGCTACATATATGTTAGGACATGCAGTTTTTAAGATGGGCGATTAGATTCCAATCATGCCTTACTTGTAAGTGCAGGGGGACCCCTGCACCAGCAAGTCGAAAACTGGCATTAGCAGGGGTCCATCGTCCTTGGACTGGTTCTGCCCCCTGCCTTAAATTAACTTAAATGTGTGGCTGGGTTACTATTTAAGGTGTGATTAACCTGCTAATCTCATCTTAAATGTAACAGTGTCAGAGGCCTAAATGTCAGAAGCTAAATATCCCTACTCAGTTCCAGGGTGGGTGTCTGGCTCCAGGAGCCAGGCACTGCCCCATCCCACCCATGTGTGCTGGGATTGGACCCTGCGGTCCAGCACCACCCTCTCCCACCAGAATTGGTTCTGAGGGCCCACCGCTACCCACTCCCACCTCCATGGCCAGGATTGTACCCTAGAGGTTGGACACT